TAATGGAACCATGAATTCTACGCACTAACAGAAAATCATGAAGGAGAATATCTGGCCATCAGTTTGTGACCTCAAGCTCAAGTGCACTTGGGTTATGTAGCAGGACAATGATCTGAAGTGTACCAGCAAGTCTACCTCTGAATGGCTAAAAGAAAAAAAAATGAAGGTTTTGGAGTGACCTAGTCAAAGTCCAGACTTAAATCTGATTGCGATGCTGTGGCATGACCTTAAACAGAACATTCATGCTCGAAAACCCTCCATTATGGTTGAATTAAAGCAATACATTAGATTTAGGGGCGATTATTTTTTCACATAGAGTCGGGCAGGTTTGGTCAGCTTTTTTCCCTTAATAAATGAAATCATCATTATAAAACTGCATTTTGTATTTACTCTAGCTATCTTTGTATAATATTAAAATTTGATTGAATCATTTAACCACTTCAAGTCAGGAGACTTTCACCCCATTCCAGTCTAGGCCAATTTTCAGCTTTCAGCACTATCACACTTTTAGTGACAATTGCTCAGTCATGCAACACTGTACCCATATTAAATTATAATTTTTTGAGACAGAGTTTTCTTTTGTTGGTACTTCATCACCATTGGGTTCTTTATTTTTTGCTATATAAATAAAACAATACAGAAATATTTGAAAATAAATAATTTTTTGCTTAGTTTTTGGTTATAAAATGTTGCAAATAAATAATTTTTCTTTATAAATGTAGACCAAAATGTGTTCTGCATAAATTTTTTGGGGAAAATTAACTAAAAACAGTGTATATTTATTTAGTTAGTGTGAAATCTATAGAGTCTACAAACTATGGGATATATATTTGAAAATTGATCAGTTGAGACCCTAGAATGCCGGACGCTGATGTGACATATGGTAGTGATCTGGACGTTGGTATGGGGTGATCGGGACGCTGGTATTGGGTATGCCAGTGATCAAGATGCTGATATGGGGTATGGTGGTGATCAGGATGCTGATATGGGGTATGGTGGTGATCAGGATGCTGGTATAGAGTATGGCGGTGATCAGGATGCTGATATAGGATATGGTGTTGATTAGGATGCTGGTATGGGGTATGATGGTGATCAGGATGCTGGTATAGAGTATGGTGGTGATCAGGATGCTGATATGAAGTATGGCAGTGATCAGGATACAAGTATGGCATATGGGGTGATAAGGATGCTGCTGTGGGGCATGGCAGTGATCCGGATACTGATATGGCGTATGGGGTGTTCAGGATGCTGGTATGGCGGTAATCATGGTGCTGGTCTGGTGCATGGCGGTGATCAGGTTGCTGGTATGGCATATGTCGGTGATCAGGGTGCTGTTATGGCATATGTCGGTGATCAGGACGCTTGTATAGCATATGACGGTGATCATGGTGTAGGAAAGGGATATGGCGGTGATCAGGATATTGGTATGGTGTATGGCCATGTTATTGTGAGCTCTGGGACAGGTGACGGGGGCTGGTTGCATGTATATTATTGACTCCCAATGGCCAGTGATCTGGGACACTGGAGTGGCTCACACAGCAGTTTGTGAGTCTACATGAAGCCTGACAAGCTGCTGTACAGTCACAGGCTGCTGCATCATTTCTCTCTGCACTCACAGTGAGAGCAAAGAACCAATCTTTACTTTCACTTTTAGTGTTTACTTTGTGATTGCTGTGATTAGTCATGTGATTGCCCCGGATACATAGTAATGTGATCCGCTGTGTCCGGGTGACATCCCAATCACCAGCTCTGCGAGCTGCGCAGGAGACACCAATGTGGGCTGACAGGTACGTTAGCCTGCATCGGCAAAGCTTCCTCTCCACCATCTATAGGCAATGGGCAGACAGGAAGCGGTTAAGTGTGACAAATTTGGAAAAAAAAATCAGGAAAGGGGGAAATACTCTTTCACATCACTGTATATTTGTTAAAGTGGTTGCAAAGGTATTTTTTGTACCTTAATGCATTATCTGCATTAAGGTAAAAAACCTTTCAATGTCAGCCCCCCCCCAGCCCCTTAACCCCTTCACGCCGGTTCCTCCTGGCCCTTTAAGGGTTTCAGAAGCCGAGAGGCGAGGCTTAGGGTCATGTGACAGCATGTCACGGCGGTCACATGATAGGGAAAGGTCCTGATCGAAAGAGGAGCTCGGGACCTTTTCGTGAGTACCGGACATGTTTGCTGGGAGCGCGCAGGGCGCGCACTCTCAGCACATATGTTCTTTTTTAATAGAACGCAAATGTGTGGCCTTAATATGTTAATGGTGTAGCGCTATAGAAATATAACCAGTACCAGTGTATATACATTTATATACTCATGAGGTTATGGAGGTCATGGAATAAGAACGCAAAAGATCCTCCATAGTGTAAAACTGTATGACACATTTAATATAAGAAAAACCGCCAAGTGCACACTCACATTTCAGCAGAAAATACAGTGCGTTTAGTATCACCTCACATGGGTGTACTGAGAGTTCTCTGGTGTGCCAAGATGGCGCGGGCCGGAAGTGCATCACCATGTTGCTATGTCACATCTATGCGTTACGCTGCGCCTCTCATAGCTTCGTCAGGATAGCGTCGTGGTGAATCACCCTCATATTTATAAGGGGATCCTAGGCCCAGATGCCAGGAGGCCGCACATTTGTGTTCAACCGGCGTGAAGAGGTTAAATACAACCCCTTTTTCAAAAATTATTTGCAAATCTCATAAAGCCATATTTTTATTCACAATAGAAAATAGACAACATATCAGATGTTTAGAATGAGAAAATTTACTATTTTAAGAAAAATATAAGGTTATTTTGAAATTGATGGCAGCAACATGATTCAAAAAAGTTGGGACAGGGCAACAAAAAGCCGGCAAAGTAAGTGATACTAACAAAGAGGAGCTGAAAGAACATTTTGCAACTAATTAGGTTAAATGACAATAGATCAGTAACATGACTGGATATAATAAGAGCATCTTAGAGAGTCAGGCTGTCTCAGAAGTAAAGATGTCAGAGGTTCATCTATCTGTGAAAAGCTGCATCTAAAAATTGTCAGTCAATTTCAGAATAATGTGCCTCAATGTAAATTTGCAAAGACCTCAAATATATCATCTACAGTACATAATATCATCAGAAGTTTCCAAGAATCTGAAGAAATCTCTGTGCACAAGGGACAGGGCCGAAATACAATATTGGATGCCCGTGATCTTTGGACTCTCAAGACGGCACTGCGTTAAAAACAGGCAAGATTCTGTGATGAACTAAGATGGCAGCTTCCTTGGCTGAAAACAATAGGGGGGTTTAGTTCCGATTTAATAAATAGCTCGATTATTTTGAAATTTTTTGCAAATCTGTTATTTTACGATAATTTATGTGTACCTGTACAGAGTAACTTTTCTTTTTTATGAGCGATAAGAGTGCGTTCAGTAAGTCTACTTTTATTAAATACAGCACAGTACGTTAGCAGAAGGTTGTGTTTAGATCCTGTAGGTTTTTGTACGTACAGTAAGTGTTTGTTGTGATTTATTTCTTCCACAAGCATACGTAAAAGCACATTATGTAAACTTATTTTATTTAACATCTTAAAAGACACAGATTTGTTTTGTATATTATGCCTTATGAATTTTGTGGTTACCTATTTTTGTTTGTACGTTTGGATGTACAGTATGTAGTGATAGAATGTGGTTATAAAGCATAAACATTTTTTTACCATAATGCATTCCTTGCATTAAGGTAAAAATGTTTAGACATCAGTGTCCCCCCCCATAACACACACACACACACACTTACTTTCTTTTACCTGAACCCTCATTTGATCCAGCACTGTGTTAATCTGCAGTTCTCTCTCCCCTCAGTTCCCAGTCTTAAGGATGCTCCCTCCCAAGCTGAAGCTCAATTTGTCCATTCACACATGGAGCGCTGCTCAACCCCACCCCCCCTCCTTATTGGCTCTTTATTTATGTATTATTTATTACAGGTACATCAATTTACGCAGCGGTTTACACATATATATATATATATATATATATATATATAGCATTCACATCAGTCCCCAACCCTCAAGAAGTGTACAATCTAAGGTCCCTAACTCACATTCATACATACACTTACTAGGGCCAATTTTAGACAGGAGGCAATTAACCTAGCAGCAGGTCTTTGGAGTGTGGGAGGAAACCGGAGTACCCAGTGGAAACCCACGCAGGCACAAGAAGAACATGCAAACTCCAGGCAGGTGGCGCCGTGGTTGAGATTTGAACTAATGACATTGGCTGTGATTGACAGTAGTGGGAGCCAGTGGCTCCTGCTGGTGTCTCAGCCAATGAGGAGGGAGAGTACCGGGAGAGCTGCTGCTCTTATGCACATCGCTGGATCACAATGAGGTTCAGGTAAGTATTAAGGGGGTCTGAGGGGGCTGCTGCACACAGAATGTTTTTTTTACCTTCATGCATAGAATGCCTGTAGTTAAAAAAAACCTTAAACCTTTAGAACCACTTTAAGTAGCAGCTGTAAAACATTCATGAGGCAATACTGCTTGCTCCTGAATGTTTTTTGGGGATTTTATGGCCAAACTGTGATTTTAAATGGGAATGTGGCACACCCCTATTCACTTAAATGGTGCCAGCATTGCCATGCCAAATATGACACGGGATATCATTTTCACGACACTGTGACTGCATCAAAGGATGCTGGCATGGCCTTAAGGGTGCTAAACCTTGCCTTAGGCTAGGTTCGTACAGCTGTGATTCTATGTTGATCTGACTTTCAGTGCGATTATGTAGTGCAACTTTGAAGTGGTTTGCATGCTCTGTGGGGCCAAAATCATGCTGGAAACGCACCAAAGTAGTACAAGAACCTTTTCCAAAATCGCCCCATGCTGAGCTGAATTGATGTGATCATTGAAAACAATGTAATTTTTTCTGTCCTGTGATTCTGAATGACTCAAGGTCTGAAATCGCACTATATTGAATGGAGCCTTATAGCTGTGTAAGTTGTGATATTATTTGTCTTCTTTGCCATTCAGGAGTCACCTTGAAGCTGCAGGACATGAATGTGACCTCCGAGACGCTGCTGGTTTGGAGTGCCCATTAGAAGTGGCAAAACTTATTTCCCAGAAGAAGTTTGATGCTGGGCTGATCATCCATTTGTACAAAGCTGGAAAATTATTGCTTGGTAACATACTGCAGTTATATTTACTTGCTAGAAGCAAAGTAATACTTGGTTTAAATTTTTATATGCATTTAAAGTAGAACTAAAGGCAAAACTTCTTCTTTTTTCATTTTGGATTGAGTGAGGGAAGGTTATAACCCCTGTCATATTTTTTTTTGCCATCTGTGTCTCATTGTGGAGATTTGCCTTCACTTCCTGTCCAAAAGCCAAACAGGAATTGAGAGGAGATCCATGCAAATTAATGTAATTCTGTGGGGGCCCCCAGGTCACCAGAACTAGTGTCCTCGTTAGAAGATATCCCCACTATTACCTTTCTGGCGACAACCCAGCATTTAGGATTTTCTTTTACTTTCACTTTCAATGATTACAGTAAACAGGACAATAGTTTAGCCTAGAGGATGGTAAAAGCAGTTTTACTTACCTGATCCTACACTCCCATGACAAACGGTGCTCCAGCAGTGGACCATTCCTCAGGGGTCCCATGCCCAATGCAGGGCTATGGCCCTACATCAGTCATGATGTGATGTCAGAGGCATTCAACTATCGGAGTGCAGGGGAGAAGAGGCTGCAGAGGATCAGGTCAGCAAAAAATGCTTTTTTTTTTTTTTTTTTATTTGTTTATTGAGGTTTTCTCTTGTATAACACTATTGGAGAAAAGTATAGCACAAAAAAAACAAAACATAATAAAAAGGCATTGAAGTGCTACCCATGCAGGGGGGCAATTTAGGTAATGTAGCATAAATACAAATCAGGCACCTAGATAGCATTGATATTATTAAGGTGTGGCTTAATATGCTGGGTACATCATGGTTGTGTAAAAGGTTTGCTATAACCCCACAGCCTGGTTGTGGGAGATACTTTTAGGCGGCTTTGTTAAATTGAAATGTAAGAAATCAGTAGAAAACTCTGTTACAGCAAAACGTCAAGCAATCTCAGTGATGCCATGGTTGGGTCAGATAGCCATTTAGACCACACTCTGTCATATTTTGCAGGGCTGCTTCTATTAACATATATAATGGAAGGTTATTGTTCACTTTTTTTTCAGAAGGGAACGGACGGGGGAGCCTGTTTTTTCCAGTGTAGTACAATAGCCTTCCTGGCATAAAAGAGGAGAAGACAGACCAATGTTCTTCTCACCACCGTGGGAATTAGAATCTCCACCAGACCCAATAGGCAGACCTCCATGATCATGGGCACAGGGGTTAATGACACAGTATTAATGATGGATAGCACACTAGTCCAGAACTCAGTGATGATTGGGCAAGACCAGATAATGTGATAGAGGTCTCCCGGCCACATGTCCAGCACTCGGGGGAGAGAGAGTTGTTCATTTTATGTGGTTGGGAAGGAGTGGGATAGGCCCTGTGTGCCATTTTAAATTGTATGAGACTAGTGTGTGGAAAGGAAAGTCAACAGGAAAAAGGGTCAGCCGCACACCGGAGGATAGATGAATATAGTGTGTATTTATTGATCCATAGGACACACAAAACACCAGGACATGAATACAGGACTTGTTAACGCTTTTCACACGATCTTGTGCTTCATCATAACCAAATGGAAAGGAAAGTCCCAGATGCCATCCCAGTCGTCATCATCTAATTGTGGGATGACCCTTTGCCACTTAGTCCTAAGGTTCTCTAATGGAAGTTGAGATATTAAAAGCAGATGAGCATACAGGTGAAAGGTGGGTTTTTTCGCACAGTCAGTTCTGAGCACCTGTTCAAGGGCCGATTGCATTACTACAAAGAAGGCCTGTGGAAATTAGCTGGAAAAGGCATGGGAGAGTTGCAGATATCAAAAAAAGTAGAAAGCGAGAACATTAGGATCAAAAGAAAGGTGCGTTAGTGGTCTTGAAGACTTGCCTTCTAACACTTGGTAAGTTGATTTACTTTATATTTGGCCCATGCTCCTGGCTCCAGCAGCATATAGAGGTGGGGTAAGGAGGGGTTCAACCAAAGTGGAGCATTAGGTGAAACTGCTTGTTTCGGAAAGTTTTCACACCCGAAGCCAACTCTCCAGGCTCCGGTGGTAGTGAGCGTGGAAGGGGTGAGTGGATTTGGGGCCTCAGAATAAAAGGAGCTGGAGAGGGATACCATTGCCACTTCAAGCATGATGGAAGTCATGGTGAGGGCAGGGGAAAAACCACCAAGCGGCAGTGACTAGCTGGGTGGCCAAAAACATTTGTGGCTGTCGGGAAATGCCAGACCACATTGGGTAGTACGGCACATTAAGATGGACAATTTGTACCTCGAGGATCAAGAACCCCACAAAAAGGAATAAAAAAATATGATTTAGTTGAACAAAAAAGACATTTGAAATCAAAGGGGGGGGGGGAGCGAATGGCGGAGAAGATGCGTAAACTTGGGAAGGATCTTCAATTTGATTAGATTTGACTGACCCAGAAGCGACAATGCCAACAACTCCCATGCCTTTAATTTCCATTTGGTTTTCTGGAAAACTGGGGTGAGGTTAAGCAGGAGTTAATCTGAGGCCTTATGGGAAACCTCTACCCCCAGATATTTGAACTGCTTTACCCATTGGAGCGATAGATCAGGTGGGGCCAAATTACAAGCCTCGTGGTCTATGGGAAGTAATAAGGACTTAATCCAGTTAATTTTGAGTCCCGTGACTGTAGAGTAGGAGTTCAGGAGGTGTAGTGTACCCTGGAGGCAGGGACCAGTATCATTTAAGAATAGTAGGAGGTCATCTGTGAAAAGGGCTCCCCTCTCCTCCCCAGCCACCCACACAAAGGCCCTTAACCTCTGAAGAGGTGTGGAGAGCAATCAAAAATGCTATACCCAGTCTATCTGTTCTGCACCGATCACTACATCTGTGCATTACTCCACTTATCACCACTACATCTGTGCATTTCTATACTGATCACCATTGCACCCATGCTTCTCTTCACTGATCACCACTGCATCTGTGAATTTCAACACTGCTCACCACTGCATCTGTGCATCGCTGCACTAATCACTATTGCAGCTGTGCATTTCTGCACTGATCACTGCTTCCCATGCATATCTCCACTGACTGCTTCTTCTCCCACACACTACCCCATTGTACTACACTGGTCTCTGTTGACCACCAATGTACCATCACCAGGTTCTGCACTGACAGATGGCACAATTGACAGATGACAGTGTAATGGCACATTTCTCCATTGTATTGATGCACTATGAAACCACATACATCTGCACTATGTAAACTGTGCTATACATTTTATTACCCAGAGTGCTGAAACTCTACATTGTGTTTTACATTTGTACCACTAGAATTTTGTTTAGAATATAAACACACTTTTGCTAGTAGTTTTATGAAGAAAATGTATGTATGCAAAGCTGCAAATTACAAATTAACCTAAACAAGCAATCACAAAAAAAAAAATATAAAGAGCACGAAGGCCTGAATTAGATTTATTCAAATTTCTGTTTGTTAAAAAAAAGCTTGCTCCATTAATTACTGTATATCATGCATGGGTTAAAATTCTTTATCGTATAAAGTGGTAAGGGCACACACAGCTAACCAACACAAAAATATATTAATAACACTGCTGCTCTCTTAATTGTGATTTACAACCTGTTCTCATGTCTGTAATCTTGTTTTGTCTCCATATTTGATAAACAGTCTCCCTTTAATGTTCTTGACAGTGCTAATAACTTTTAACATTTATTTTCTGCATGACTACCTAAATCAACTCTTTTGTTTGCCAAGGTTTACAGAATCTGCTGCAAAATATAAAACAATCCACTCATAAATAACTTACCCAAGCAAAAAGTGACAAAACCTTGCTGTAGTCTGTCCCGTAACACCCAGTTATTTCTCTTGGTGCCACCACCTTGCTTTTACATACTGTAGGAAATCGTAGCTTTGCCGGTCCAGACTTCTTTTTTTTCTACCTCCAGCTCCCATCAGATGCACACCCAGGCGCACATCTCCACCCAGCTATACTACTTGCAGGGGCGGACTGACCATTTGGAAACTCGGGTGCTGCCCGAGGGCCCGGGGTCAGTAGGGGGCCCCATGAGATGCCCCTGGTACCTTTTTCATAGGCTTTTTTGAGTTTTGGGCAAGGACACGGTGGCCCCATGATCCCCTATTGCCTGGGGGCCCCATGAGTTGTCAGTCCGCCCCTGGCTACTTGTCTCCATGTTTAAGCCCTAATGGAGTGAAAAACATTTGCGTGGGAAGTGGAGAGTCAAGATTATATTTTGTGAATCCTTTTTTTTTTATATTTATGCTGATTTTATATCAGTGAAGGTATCAGTGTGCGGACTATTCATTTTTCTTTTTGACAGTAGGAAAGGAAGCCAGATGGAGTGGTTAGAGATGGAGATTAGTGCTTAAGAAGTTATCGTTTAACAGATGGTCTAAATTTCCATAGCAGTAAGAGCTCAGTCACACGTCCTAAATCGGCTATGGTGTGGGATGTACACTGCGAATACCTGCATCGGGTATCCCGTGTGTTGTGGTCAGTGACAGCTGCTCAGCTTGTACAAGTCAATTACAGGCTGAAAGGAGCTGAGGTCTGTCCAGGGCTGTGAGCAGTAGCTGCACATCCAGCAGTTACCTACAGTTGGGGACAGATGTACGGCCCTGGATGCAATCTGTCTGCATACAAGTTCCCCCCCCCCCCCAAAAAAAAAAAAACCCAAAAGTAAACACTGCCATTCTGTAAAAAAAGTGAATGGCACCAGCCTGCACTCTAAAACTGATCATTTTAGTGTGTGGTGGGTTGGTGTGGACATAGTATTAAACTACAGTTTAATGGAAAGAAAATTGCTTGATTGATTCCACCATGAACAAGACTGTTGGAATCCCTCCCTCAGTGCTATTGTATTGCCATCAGAATACAATAATCACTTCTAGCCCTATAGCCGATGGCAGTGATCGGAAAAAAAAAAATCCTTCAGGCTAGTTGTACTGAAGTCAGCCGATGGGAGGGGTTGGGGAACTGTCCCATTGAGACACAGCTGGCTCAGGAATTAGCACGCACGAGTACATCCAAAGCAAGCAGGGCTGTTCTGTGCAAAACCATTGCACAGAGCAGGTAAGTATGATGTGTTTATTATTTTAACTGCTTACCGTCCGCCCTATAGCAGAAATACTGCTACAGGGCAGCACGGGTGCGCAAAATCACGTATATATACGTGATTTCGCATTTTCTGGGTAGGGGGCGCGCCATTTGCGGCCACGGCTGTCAATCACCGGGTCTTCGTCGGTAATTACTTGCCAGCGTCTGATGATTTCTGAAGATCTCCGACAGGAAGGAGGACTATTTTGTTTGCCAATAGTTCTCCTCCCTGTCAGCTCAGGCACACTGCCCTGGATGGCTGTGCATGGCACAGCCATCCAGAGCAGTGTGATTACAGTGAAGCACACTGACAGCCCCCTAGTAAAACACTCCCTGCACACAGTTAACCCTTTGATTTCCCCTCATGTCACCCCCTTCCTGCCCAGTGCCATTAGTACAGTGGCATTGCTTTTTTTTTTTTTTTTAGCAATGATCACTGTATTGGTGTCACTGGAGATGTCCCCCAGCAGTGTCAGAATGTCTACCACAGTCCCGCTATAAGTCGATGATCACCGTCATTACTAGTAAAAAAAAATAAAAAATTACAAAAAAATTCCACTATTTATAACTTTCACGTAAACCAATTCATTTGCACGTATTTTTTTACTGGACATGTTTAATAGCAATGTGTAGAATTTTCATAGGCGTTTGAGGAGCGTTAAAAACATTCCCAAACGCCTGTCTAACGCCCCCTGACAAAGCTAGTGTGAACTTAGCCTAACTCTCCCCACTATGTGCCTTGGCAGTGCTGTGGATCACAGTAGTACTTTCTGCACTGCTGGGTTGTGAGGCCAACTGAATCCTTGGTGCCCAAGCTAAAGTAGATCCCCACTGTTTGTCCTCATAACCCCCACTGCAACCTGCATGAGCAGAAGTAGCAGACCTCACTATTGAAGAAGCCATTATACCTGCTATATAACATAGTTCTAGAGAGGTAATAATCTATTGGGTGACGTGTGGATGCTGTTTTAATACTCCCGCTGACCAACAAAGACAAGAGTTCTCCTGGTCATTTGGTTACTATCCTAAATTGTCAATTTTACAGGTACTTGGAGACAAAATTGCTAATTAAAAAATAAAAATTAGAAAATAAATCTGGAAGGTTTTTGTGTGTGTGTGTGTGTGTGTGTGTGTGTGTATGTGTGTGTGTGTTTGTGTATACAGCTAAGATTACCAAATAAAATGTTTTATTGTTGTGTTGAAGGAAATGGAATCCCTTTTGGGGCAGTATTTGGTGGGACAGACATCAATGAAGATGTGAAAAATGAAGAGAAATACAGGGTTATGGGAGCTGTCCTTGAAGATGCCAGGTAATTGAAGTGTTTTGTATTGTTGACTCAGCCAAATGGCTATGCATGATGATCAAGCAGAACATGCCTTTCAAACTTTACTCGCCAAGAATAAGCTGTGACAGATTAATTTCCCATTCTTTGTGAAATGTCAAGTTCACTGCTAGTGGCGACATTGTTCACCTAGTCACTTGTTTATGCATTGATTTTACTTTGATTATTCTTTTAATAGAACTTAAAGCTGCACTCTAGGCAAATGTGTAAAATTGTTTTACCTACTAAAGGATTTGTTTCTGTGAATCCAATTCTGAGATTTACAATACAGCACAGCCAGTGTGGACACCTGACTTTTCTCTGCTGCAGTTAAAGTGTTACTAAACCCAGGACCCTGCATTCACTATATCTGGTCTCCCACAGTACACACAACATGGAATGCAATTATTTTAGTAAATATAAGCTGCTAAATACTTTTCTCATCAACAGTTAGAGCAGTCTCGTGACTTCTATCAGTGTCCAGCAGAGCACATGTTAAAGCTTGTAGGAGGAGTTTTCTTTCTGTTCTAGGAGGATGCAGATCCCCTGACTTCTGTTTGGACAGTGCTGATTGGCCCTGTGCTGATCACATGCAATCTCCCAAGAAAATAAAAAACCTCTCTAGCAATACACACCAAACTGAGCATGTGCAGAGTGTCTCCACATGATATGCCTTATCAGGAGATAAGAGGGGGACACTGGAAAAAGGGGAGGATCAGAGAAGTCAGGATCAATCATTTTACACAGTGCAGGGGATTAACCCCTTAGGTTCCGCAACGAGTAAAACAAGCATGCTTTACTGCATATACAGACTGCTTTTACTGTTGTGGGTTTAGTAACACTTTAAGCTACACAGCTAAGTAACCTCCTCACTCCTTACCTTGTAATTGGACAGTGCAGGAGTAGCAAAAGACTGAAAAGGTCTTTTCTCTCTTCTCCCCTTTTGTCAGCATCATTTTTTGTCAGGACATGTGAATGCAGAACACCTAACTGGCTGCAAGTACTGCCCTTTCTGTCTTAGAGAGTTCTATTGATATGGTGATTACATAAGACTGAATTAAAGCAGTATTAAACCCAAAAGTGAACATTTATTATAGTGCAGCATACCAAGGCTTGGTCTTTCTTTCCTTTATTTCCAGTAGGTCCTCCCATTAAGTCTGTTTTTCAACAAAACAAGCTCTCCTGTAGATGTATCAGTTAAGAGTATTAAAACACCTGACAGGGTGCTTGTAATGATCAGCTTTTGTTTATTCATGTAAAAACCTTTGTCCCAAAAGGAAAAAAAAATTGGTACTGTAACTGCTTGTGTAACTGCAGTGTAAGCTGGAGTTTGGCTTCAATTTGTTAGTGTATCTAAATATGCCAGTATATATAACACACCCCTCCCCCCCAGACTGACAGTGCTGCAGTTCAGAGGTCCCTCTGTGGTCATTCATCCAGAGTGTGGGCAAACTAAGGAAAACTAATGCAGCCACCACATGTAATGGTTGATAAACTGCAATATACTACAGTTTTGTTGTTAGGTTTAATACCGCTTTATGCCAGATGTCGGTATTTACAGGTAGCAGTTCCATTTAAAATACATTTAATTATTTTGATAAATAAATGTATTCAGTTGTGTTTTTTTTTTTAAATATCTGACTGTTCATCTTTAATACACTGTATGCATGCAGCCACAGTTTTTATGTATGTCTTACTGTATGTAAAATGTCTGCTTGCCGTGAGAACATCGACAGCTTCCTCTTATTCATTTTATTACATAGGAAATATCACTAACTATATGTTTTTTTTCTCAATATGCATTTTGTCTATGTGTCCAGACTTTAGGGACATCCTGTACAATAACTTCTGCTTTTTTTTACTTTTTGTCATTTGAAAAGAATGTGAATGCTTCTGCTTTCAGTGACAGCGTGTGCACTAGAAGTGGGAGGGACTGTATGTCAGTTTCTAATCTTAATAGACTCATTCAGAACCAAGGACAGTTTTTGAGTTTTTTTTGTTTGTCCCTGGAAACTGTTAGATGTCTGCATATGCCTTCTTTTAATTCAGTTTTTTCTGATTCTCCTGATGATTTGATTGGCTGCCTCAGCAATGTTTGGCATGCTATGCCTAGAAGCAAGTATAAAGAGTGCAAATATAGTAAAAAAAAAAAGCTAAAAACACTTTTCAAGAGGCCTATTTACCAAGGAGAAAACAAATTCACAGGTTCCTATATAAAGTACTTTTTGTTTGTTATAGAGCATTTATGCTTTAACTGCTTCCCAACCGCCTATAGCCGAACTACTGCTACAGGGCAGCAGGGCTGCGAAAAATCACATGTATATATACGTGATTTTGCATTTCTGGGTAGGGGCGCGCTGCCATACCTGCACTACCGTTGGCAGCTACAACTGTCGATCGCCGGGTTCCCAGCCGGAGATTTACCGCTGGCACCCTGACAGCAGAGAGGTAGGTATGTAAACAATACAGATCTCTCCCTATCCGAACCAGCATGCTTCTTTGTATTGCTCTGCATAGCAGAGCAATACAAACCAGCATGCTTACATAGTAAAACAGCACACAGCACATAATGTGAAACACAAACAGCACACAGTTAACCTTTTGATTCCCATAGATGTTAACCCCTTCCTGCCCAGTGTCATTAGTACAATGTCAGTGCTTTTTTATTAACCACTGATCACTGTATTAGTGTCACTGGGGATGTCAGTGGCAGTTACTCAGTTCCCCCTCCAGTGTCAGAATGCCTGCCGCAGTCCCGCTATAAGTCCCTGATTTTTACTAGTATAAAAAAATGTCAAAAATATTCCAGTATAGATATCGCCATTTGTAGACGCTATAACTATCACGTAAACCAATTAATTTACATGTATTGGGATTTTTTTTAGCAAAGACGTAGCAGAATACATTTTGGCCTACATTTATTAATTTATTTAAAAACATTTTTTACTGGATATGTTTTATAGAAAAAAGTAAAAATTACTGTGGTTTTTTTTTTCAAAATTGTCGGTGTTTTTTTTTGTTTATAGCGCAAAAAAAATTAAAAACCGCAGAGGCGATCAAATACCACTGAAAGAAAACTCCATTTGTGGGAAAAAAGGACATAAATTTAATTTGGGTGTAGCATTGCATGACCACGCAACTGTCAGTTAAAATAACGCAGCACCGTATCGCAAAAAATGGCCTGGTCAGGAAGGGGGGTAAGTTCTCTGGAGAGAAAGTGGAAGTTCAGTCAAACACTAACTATACTTAAATCTACTCCCACCCCCATTCTAAGCCTATTCTATCTACTCTGTGAAAGAAAAGATCTGTATACGTACCTATTCTGAGGGAGGTCCGGTCACATGTTCGGGTTCCAGCGCTGGCTTCAGTGTAGAAGAGGGACAGCCAACAACGGCTGCCCCATAGTAAGCCTAATTATGAAGTCATCGCCCAGGCTGTACAGCCATTGTTGGCCATCTCTTTTCTTCACTGAAGCCGGTGCTGGGACCAGATTGTGTGACCGGACCGGAGCACTCTCAGTATTGGTAAGTATACAGATCTTTCCTCCTTCCTTCACAGCAGGGATCTCAAACTTTCTAAACAAAGGGCCAATTTACTGTCCTTCAGACTTTAGGGTGGCCAGCATAGAAAATGTCCCAGCATTGGTGTCAGTGAGAGCAATTATGCTCCATTGTTTGTCATTGGGAGGAATTTTGCCCCATCATTGGTCCCCATTGTTAATATCATTGAGAGGAACTGCCCCATTGTTGGTGTCACTGGTAGGAATTGTGCCCCATCGTTGGTGTCAGTGAATGAAATAGTGCCAAAGACCTGGATAAAAGCAAGCAAAGGGCCGCAGTTTGGAGACCATTGCTTCGCAGAGTAGATAGAATAGGCTTGGGATGGGATGGGAGTAGATTTTAAGTATACTGTAGATAGTGTTTGATTGAATTTCCACTTTAACTCTAGAACTGTAAGGTGAAACTGAAAGCCTTGGGCTGCTCATATAAATAGCAGGCATGGGTGAGGAACTGAAAGTGATTTAGTTCTAGAGGGGACATCCCTCTCTTATTGTGAGATGACAGAGTAGTAATATTTTAAAATATTTTTTCTGTTTAAGTCATATCTAGAAATCTAAAGATTTACTGTGTTTTTTGATGTAGAGGTGTCAGAGTGTCATTTGGGTACCTTTTTCGGTGATAAAATATAGCAAAATAGAATTGATTTACTTTATTTTTGTATTTTATTTCTTCTGTCTAGTAAATGTGTGATCACTCGAGCTGCACCTGTCTGCAGGAATGGTTGTGTTCACTTGTGATTCTGTCTGATCTTTAAAATGGGACACTCTCACCAGCCGTACATGGATTCTTACTGCAATTTGTCATGTACAGTCTTAATGAAAGAAGATCCAATAAAGGGCATAAAGCAGGGGTCAGCAACCAATAGATCACAAACTACCAGTTGATTGCAGCCAGGTGAATCTTAGTTCACAGTCTGGGCTTGCTGACCCACCATTGCAGAGCATCAAACAGAGTGCAATGCAGAGGGACTACTTGTAAAGTTGGAGCTGTAGTAGGGAGCAGGAGCCACATAAACCGATGCCTCCTCTGTAGTGCTGGATCCTGTCCCAATACGGAGTGATACCAACTGCACCCCACCTCCCACTTTATCCCGGCTAGTGGTTTAAGAGATCTTAAGGTCAGTGTGAAGCAATTCACTTGGTATAATAGAATAGGGCTGCTTTCACACTGATGTGCTGCGATTTACCCACACTGAGGGTGCAGTGCAGTGTACCTGCAGCTTTCCTGTGGGTTTGCTGGGTTTAGCCATAGACTGATTTTATATCCTGCACTTTCTGAAAGCACACCAAAACTTTTGAATGCAGAATATAATAAAAGTCAATGGCAAAGTGCAGCTAACCCAGAAAAGTCGCAGATGGACTGTGCTGCACCCGCAGTGCAGGTAAACCACAGTACATCAGTGTGAATGCATCCTTATAGGGGGTTCAGAACAATAAGGGTTCATTTACATTTGCAGTTTGGGGGGGTTGGTAAAAACTCATTGTTAAGAAATGTTTTTACCACCCCTGCCCCAACTGCACCCCCTTTAGATGCAGTGGCTAGGGGAGGACACATGTTGCAGCTGCAGTAGGAGTTGGTCTGTCTTGTCATGGTCGGTGGGTGTAGCACCTGCCAAGCATGACCCATTCAAGTGAATGAGGCCACTCTGCAACTGACCTGCAGCCTTGTGCAGTAGAGCAAGGCAGTGTGGGTGTTGCTCTCTCACCACCTGCTTTAACCCCTTAGACCCCGCAGAGGCATGCAGTTGTGGGGCGTTTGCAGAGTGGCCCCATTTACTTGAATGGGTTACTATTGGCACGCGTAAGCACCCACTAAAAGCAACAGGAGGTTTAATTCCTGCTGCAGCATGTGTATACCTTTGGCTGCTGCTTCAGCAGCTAAAGGGGCTGAGGAATTGGGGGAGCTACACTGTGGGGTTTTATCACCCCCCCAACTTTGTGTTTGAACAAGCCCTAAGGGTGATGCTGCCAAATGCAGCTTAGGGCTCATTCACAAGTGTAGCAGGCAATGCTGCTCCTCTGAAAAGCGATCCAAGTGTGTTTGACAGGTTATGAGGAGGCGATATGTGGCCTCCTCACTACCTGATTTAAACCCATGATTACTGTGCAATGCATGCTATTGCGACACGGTAGTACGGCAATTAAAGGTGACACTGTGCCCGGTAATATTTGACTTCTCTAATGTTGTTCTGGTAGATCTCCACCTCTTTAAGTTTGCCTGCCCCGGCCTAAAGGAATCCTAAGATGAGAGTAATATGTTGGCCATCATTCAATACCTCTTTTAACCACTTCCCATCCATGATATGTTCAAAATAAGACCTTAGTTTTCCAGGGATGTCCTCCAATGTGTGTGCTGCCCGCGTGCCCCCTGGAGCACACATCGAGAAATCTCTGTAATCGCTGTGTGCCTTGGACACTTCAGGGATTGGGGTAAAGGGACAATCACAGTTGCCCTTTACCATGTGATCGCTGTGTCCAGTAACAAGCGATCACAGATGTAAACTCAACAGGTCTTTGCCTGTTCATGGCTCCTTCTTTCGCACAGAGTCCGTGTGTGAGGGAAGGAGAGCCGGATGTGTGAGGGGAACATTGAGTACAGTATTTTACAGTTCTACACAGTGCTTTGATCATCAGCGCAGCTTATCAGTGACCATCAGTGCAGCCTCATTAGTGCCTATCAGTGAAGAAGAAAAATTACTTATTTGCACAATTTTATAACAAACAAAATGTTATGGTGTTTTTTTGTTTATTTAGTAATAAAATAAAAACCCCAGTGGTGATTAAATACTACCAAAAGAAAGCTTTATATATCTAAAACAAATGATAAAAATGTAATTTGGGTACAGTGTTGCATGACTGAGTAATTGTCATTCAAAGTGTGACAGCACTGAAAGCTGAAAATTGGTCTGGGCAGGAAGGGGGTGAAAGTGTCCGTTATTGAAGTGGTTGAAAATATTGGTCATCTGCTTGTCTGCTTGATTTACAGACTGCAATAAACAGTTTCTGCCTTTGAATATATTTACAGATCACAAGTTTTAGCTTCACCTGCTGCATAAATGTTGTTAGGTGGTTACTCAAAGTCAGAGAATCAACATGACAGCCAGGCAACATGAGTTTTCAGAACAGCACAATTTTTCTCAGCACAGATTTTCTTTAGTACCATGTCAGATTACGCATAGACGTGGGAAGAAAAAACACTTCTAATAGAATCGCTCCCTTGCTGGGTCAGAAAGCTGCATAATTTTGCTTGTCATTAACATGTCACAGAATTCAAGGAAGTAAATGTGTTGGGACCTTCATAAAGTATGTTTATAGACTTCAGGATCAGAGTACTAGCAGTAGGCTAGAAATAAATGAAATACAAGTAGAAGTGAATATATGAGGCAGCTTAGTCTGGCATGGCTTTTAAGAAGCAGCATAAACATATGAAACTGGCAGAACATTAAATTGATGCAAACCTGAAAGCGTATTGATAAATGGAAAATAGCATTAGACTTCTGACACAAGTTTTCAGCACATACAATTTACTTTTACATTCATCTCTTCAGAACTGCTTTTGATGTTTATATATGAATAATGACTTTTAAATAGCTGCTAATTGCTTAAAGTTTTATTAAAGTTAAAAAAAAAAAAAAAAAAAAAAAGATCCCCCTGCAAGGTACAGGCATAATATTCTGCTATGCTAAATATAACTAAGCATACCTGGTAGAATCTTTATGCTGGGTTCACACTGTTAAAATATGTTATTTAGTCTTCTCTTAGGTCTGACCAATTTCCTTTTAGTAGATGTGTATGGAATCTACATATATATGTTGTCTGTATCATTAACAGTTTTTTTTTTTTCATATGACTAATGTTTAACAAAAATACCCTGTTTTAGCAGAGTGACTTGAGTTTTGCTGTACCATTTAATCATTTTATTGCTTTTTTCCCATCTCCAGATTCGCTGTAGCATTTACTAACGAAATGAAAGAAATTGCAGCAAAACATTGGGTATGGCATAGCATCTATTTTTTTCTTTTTTATTTTTTTGTGAAAACTTATAGGCACCTATAGAGAACTGGTTTGGACCATCAGGTTGATGTCTTGTGCACACACAAGCATGCCCCTCCCTGCCTACAGTGAGGAGAAACTGTGAGGCTGGAAACTACTCAGAATTGCTGGACGTTTTCTTGGGAATTGCAGCTCTGCATTCACATTTAGGTTCCATGCACCCTAGTGTTTTTTTAAGCTTAAAAAAAGCTGGTAATAGCGTTTTTAATAGTGTTTTAGTAGCGTTTAGAAGCGTTAGCATTTTATTAGCGTTTTTACAGTACATGTAGAAAAAAGCTGTTAGGGGTGTTTTAGTAGCGTTTAGGTGTGTTCAGCATTTTTTCTGCTGGAAAGGCATTCCCAAAAACTCTATAGAAACAATTTTTTTCTGCTCCTAAACTCGGAAGCTTAATAGCCTAAAATAGCGTGCATGGATTACCTTGTGCTCCATGTACGCTAGCAATTTTTTAAGCGCCTAGAAGCTGTTATCAGCATTTTTTTTTCTGCTCCTAGAAGCTAAATCGTTTTATCTTATGTGTTCATACCAGACCCATATCCGAGCATGCAGCCCGGCAGGTCAGGAAAGAGAAGGGACAAGCAAGTGCCCTCTTGAACCAAACCAGGCCACATGCCTTCAACATGGGGGGGGGGGGGTTGGCTCCCCTCCACAGCACCTTGTCCCCATGTTGATGGGGACAAGGGCCTCTTCCCAACAACCATGGCCGGTGGTTGTGGGGGTCTGCGAGCAGGAGGCTTATTGTAATCTGGAAGCCCCCTTTAACAAGGGGGCCACCCTATGTCAATGAGTATGGGGTACATGGTACTGCTACCCTTTTACAGAAAAAAAAAAAAATGTAGTGGGAAAATGACAGGAGACAGTCTTTGATAAGTAATTTAATAAAAAACAACAATTAAAAAATTTCCCCCGAAGTAGATCCAACGTCAATCATGATGCCCGGTGCCACCACCGACCCAAAAAATAACAAACAAAAAACTCTCCATTCGTTGCTGGCTCCCGCTGTCTGACAGCTGCGCCGGGGTGACAGTTGTTAAATACTGTGATGACATCACCAGGGGCAGGGCCACAACTGTCCCCTTGTGACGTAAGAATGCACTGTCAGGGCACAGTGCATTGTGGGGTACAGTGGGCGAATAGCCCTCCCATCGTCCCTTACTGTTCATGTGTTCGCCAAGCACATGAAACGGCTGATGTTCGACTCGAATATCTAGCCCATCTCTAATGGATTCCACCTCTTGTAACGGATCACTTATATGCACTTCACTTCTCTTTTTAGGAGTCACTCAGGCAACATAACAAAAAAAAGAAAGCCGCTAATCATGTAAAACTATATGACCAGTAGATTTATTCACTCCAGTAAAAAATCTACTCACAAACATCCAAATATCAATGCCCATCAAATCCAAATATATGGACTGTCCGGTATAACCCCGCTCCTCAGCCAAGTAATCGGCATCTCACCTGGTCCATTCCTCCCTAATTTCCGTTGCCTCATTTCCGGGGGGCCCTGACATCCATTTGCCGTATGGTCAGTCCCTAACATGTTTTGTCTGTCAACTTCTTCAGAGGAACAAGAGTTCATTACTGTGAATAACAAGAAAAATCTTTCCAGCTTAATGTTGTGTATCACAGGGGATTTATCTCTTCTTACTGTATCCAAGTCCAAAAACAAAACCGAGCTAAAGCAAAACAGCACCCAGAAATAGACCCTTGGTGAAATGGTGTCAGTAAACATACAGATGTACTGTAAGGCCCATGCACACTGAATGGTTTTAGCTTCTAGGGGCATCTGGCATTTTTTGTTTTCCTGCCTCTAAACTCCCCTGCATGTTAGTCTATGCGTCCATGCACACATAAACTTTTAGAGGTGTTTAGAGGCAGCAAAAAAAAAAACTACTGCCAAAAACACTTGAAGCTTCTAAACGTGTGTATACATGCATTAACACTCTACATGTCTAGCGCTTTGGCATTAATTAGTTTCAGTGGTCAGAAAAAATTATTTATTCTGGCTAATGAAATTAACACCTAGGCATGCCTAAATACTTTACATATTTTTACGTGGTAGCAATAAAGTAGTAGTTTAATTTTTTCAGACATCTACATCACAGTTTCTAACAGTCTGAACATTACTTCTTCCTTCCTTTGAGGTTTAATAATTATCCTAGGGTGTACTCACATTCGCGATGGATTAACTGAAATGTGCTTGAGTTGGATTCTTCCCCTTCCTCACTCCTTCGCTGGTTTGCACTCACACTGGTTTGTAAGGAAGTGTTCCCGGGAACCAGACCAGTGATCGCTGTTTCACTGTACAATCCTCTATGGAGAGAACTGTGCTGTGGCACAGTTTGTACTCACACTCCAGCAAACCGTAGCAGATCAAGTGAACCGCACTCGGGATCATCTGTTCCATGTGGTTCCGGGCTTGGTATGCTTAACCAGTTCTAGGGGCGGTTCAGAGCACTCATACTACACAACTGGCCCAAGGGGCTGAAATGCTCCCAGGACTAGTTGAAAATGTACCCTTAGTCCTAGCCCACATGGGAGAAAAATATATTTAAAAAATATTCTTCCCAAATATATTGACATATATTTGAAATGCTTCAATTTTGTCCATATATTCATTCTCTCTCTCTCTCTCTCTCTCTAATATTTTTAAAAATATGTCTTTAAAAGTACAAAACTAAATTTTTTGGAATGCATTTGCAAATATACCGTATGTAAAAATATATCTTAAAATAACTTTTTTTATATGTTAAAAAAACCTGAAGAATATCTTTAAAAAAAATTTTCAGATATTTTGTAATATATAAAGAACGCATGTTGAAATTTTTTTTTTGTAATATATTCTTCAGATCTTTTTAAACATATATAAAAATAATTTTAACATAAATTTTTACATAAATTTGTAAATGCATCCAAAAATGTAGATTTGTATTTTTTAAAGAAATACAGTATATTTGAAATGTATTTTTTTAAATATTATTCATATTAAATTTATAAATATATTTTGAAATATATTGAATATGGCCAAAATTGTAGCATTTCAAATACATGTCAATATATTTGGGGATAATATTTTTAAAATACATTTCAAATATATTTTTCTTCCACATTTAGTATTTGATAATTAAATATTGGTTCTTCCTTTTCACTGCTTTCTTATGGTTCTAATAGGTTTTTGTAAGCGTATGGGTAAGTTCTGGGTAACATTTTATGAAGCCCACTGTCAGATGTTGGATTTTCTGATTTTAGAAGAGTTTTTTAAAAATTTGGCTGCCAATTATAAAATCATGGCACACATGCCCAGTGTCATACAACCCAAGAATCTGAATGTTATGTTGTTATATTTACGGATTGCAATGTTTCATGCCAGGGGAAACGCCAATTAACTTGTAGTTTATTAGGTTGTTATGAATTTTCTGCCGTATGATTCAACAGTTAGAGATAGGTCACAAATCTGCAGTGTAATGATGGCTTTTATTGTAAGCACAATAATGAATAATAATATCAATTTGCTGGATGTAATTACAGAATATAAAAGAGAAAAAGGCAATAATGTTTAGCTTCAGTAAAGATTGTGGTCTAAATCTTCAGCTTTATGTATACAGGTGGGAGTTTACTACAGCTAAATTAATAAATCTGGCAGTGTTGCCACTAACACATTTCTTCTGGTCCAGTGTCAGTTTAACTGGCTGTGAGCAGTCTCAGATCTGTTTATAGGGTTGCATTGTAGTATTCTGCTTTAATAAAGATTACAACTGTTGCCTTTTCTTAGGCAGGACCTTTACTTTTACATTTTTGAAATTGCGAATGAGCTATATACACTCACTGGCCACTTTATTAGGTACACCTGTTCAATTGCTTGGTAACACAAATTGCTAATCAGCCAATCACATGGCAGCAACTCAATGCATTTAGGCATGTAGACTTGGTGAAGACAACTTGCTGAAGTTCAAACCGAGCATCAGAATGGGGAAAAAAAGAGATTTAAGTGACTTTGAACGTGGCATGGTTGTTGGCACCAGACGGGCTGGTCTGAGTATTTAAAAAACTGCTGATCTACTAGCATTTTCACACACAGCCTTCTCTAGGGTTTACAGAGAATGGTCCGAAAACGAGAAAATATCCAGTGAGCGGGCAGTTGTGTGGACAAAAATGCCTTGTTGATGTCAGAAGAGAATGGGTAGACTGGTTGCTGCGACATTCAGATACTAAGGTCAGAATTTGGCGTAAACAACATGAAAACATGGATCAGTCCTGCCTTGTATCAACGGTTCAGGCTGGTGGTGGTATAATGGTGTGGGGGATATTTTCTTGGCACAAGCAAGCTGTACCTAATAAAGTTGCTTGTGTGTGTATATTCCAGGGGCATCATAATAAAACGTGTTCAGTATTCTACAATTTGTTTTCTTTCAAAAGTAGTGACTTTCTGGGTGGAAAAGTCTTTTCCCTTACAGCAGCTGCAAAGTAGGACCGTTGCCTTTTCTGTGTAAGCAGTGGTCTCTCTGCAGAGGTCAAACAGGCCACCTGTTCAGTCAGACCTATACCTCACCTCATCCAACTTTCAGAATGTTCTGTGACCCTTGAATATTGGAGCCCTTACATATACCGACTTATGAAAGAAAGGTCAAGGGCTGGTCTGCCCTCTCCTGTGCGTAGTGATTTTCCATTAGGCACTGAGGCTTTTCCTCATTTTTAATGACCAATAATAATCGAAGAATAAAGAGTCAAGAACTGGCCTGCCCGCCTGCATTCTTCAACGTTCTGTTGGACACTAAGGACAACTTTCATACTAAACAATTGTAGGGAGTAGTGGGAGGTGAAGGGCCAGCATTTGGCTGTTTATTCGGTGGTTGATGTTTGCATGATTCTGAGCCCCAAGATTTATGGTCCCTAGAGAAAGCTCTTAGATAATAAATCTTGGGCTGACTCTTTATCTCATGTTGGGGTTGTGAAAAAGTTCTAAATGCCCAGGTGGTCTGGAAGGATCGGTGATCATGTGACCACTGTTATTGGCTGTGACAGTAGTCACATGATCAAGAGCCTTTCCCACCGGCTGCCGATAGTCCCAACCGAGGGCTGTCTGACAGCTCAGTCTCTGTGCTGAGAGTGTGCAGTGAGCGCACTCTCAGTACAGAAACATTAGCTGCCCAGTGATGCATATGTCCGGCTTGTGGGCCTTAAAGCCAATGACCGTGTAAACATGAGTATAACGCTTTTCTTTAAAAGATAGTGTATTTCTAATCAAATAAGAATTTAAACTTTTTATGAAAATTTGAAAAAACTGTCACCATCACATATATTGTTTCAGGATTTAAACTTCCTGCATGACTGGCTTTCACTGCAGGGCTAGTGGGAGAGTAAGCTCTCCAATATATAAATTATGATGTTTTTATTCTGTAATAAAAAAAGGCTTCTTTCTTTTTTTGTCATTATTTCATAGCCACAAGCAATCTATAAAATACACATCCAACCTCAAGGTAAGAATTTCCATTGTTATTAAATGTGACAGTGCCTATATAATGAAAAGATGCACGTATTTAACCAGGTCTGGGAATGCAGTATTAACACATTTTGATGCTTTCATTTTTATTTGCTAGTTATGAGCAGAGATATTAATAATGTACCTTCAACCTGCCATCTGCTTTACTACCAAACATGACTAATTAGAAAGGATTAAAGAGGAATGTAAAAACCTCTTAAAGATATGTGTGTAAGAGGAGGGGGTTCTGTATTTTTAAGTGCTTTTCCAATTTTGCTAATTCACCTGAAGTGTTCATATTATTTGTCAATTTCAGATCTTTTTTGTTCTCTTTGCAGGAATTATGACAATGCCGAATTTATTTTTTAATTGTGAAGCCTTTCTTCAAAATGCAGGTAAACCAAAAGTAAGTTTATCATAAACTAGTCAGCCAGTCAGTGTAATACAGGTTCTGTAAATCAGGTGTCTTCCATAACAGCACCATACCTTATCAGTGTCACCATATTGCCTCAATATGCCCCAGTAGACTAATGGAAAACATAGCTGAATACTTTTCAGTTGGTATTAGCGTATGATTTTCAGGGGGCTCCATGGGGAGGCATGGAGGTTCTTTTGGACTGAAAAGTTTCCTTTTAACCACAGCAATCTACCAGCATTGGCTTCAAGTGTATGTCTGGGCAAAATAAAAATAAACATTCTTTTTCTGTACATTTCTGCAATACATGCACTTCTCATTATGTTTTATTGCTGAAAAAGCAATAGTTAATTGCAGAAAACTAACTGTTGCTCCCACTAGGAATCCAGTGATCTCTTTATTTCCTGTTGCCCTGACAATACTACCTCTGCTGACTAGGAACCCCAAGCAGTGTTGTCAGCGCTGCCTCAGTTCCTTCTTGCTGGACTACAGAACCCACCCCTCCTCTTTCTGTACTCCCTGCAACACAACATTGCTCTCTCTCAAAGCCTGTCCACACAGTATGTGTAGCAAAGTGGATCTTGGGCAATAGTAAATTTGCAGAAAACTACCTGTTGGTCCTGCCAGGAATCCAGAGATCTTATTATTTTATGTTGCCCTGACAATGCTACCTCTGCTGACTAGGAACCCCAAGCAGTGCTGTCAGCGCTGCCTCAGTTCCTTCTTGCTGGATACAGAACCCACCGCCTCCTCTTTCTCTCCCAGCAAAACAACATTGCTGTCTCTAAAAAGCCTGTCCACACAGTATGTGTAGCAAAGTGGATCTTGGGCAATAGTAATTTGCAAAAAACTACCTGTTGGTCCTGCCAGGAATCCAGTGATCTCCTTATTTTCTGTTGCCTGACAATGCTACCTCTGCTGACTAGGAACCCCAAGCAGCGTTGTCAGCACTGCCAAATTAAGTGTGAGCCAGCCTAGGGTGACAACACTGTATAAATACAATAGGAAGAATGACCGTCATACCCCTAGGACAGAAAGTGTGCTAATTACAAAATCACCAGGGTAAAATAAAAGAAAAAAGCCTAAAAAAAATAAAAATAAAACCGATGCATCCACTGAATCTATGGACTGATAAGTAACATATTACTTTTTGTGCTTAGGCACACTTTAACACTTAATCACAAAACAAAAAAGGAAGAGAATCAGGAAGTGCTCAGATCAGAAGCTTTGAACAAACAGTGCTACTGTACTGTTGGCTTTGTTGTTTGTTTAACCTCCCTAGCAGTCTGATTATGTCCATATTTCTGTGCTCAAAGCGGTACATTTTTTTGCATGGAAATATGTATTTTTTTTATTGTAGGCCTGTAATTTTTAGGAATAACTCACTGAAATCTGTCCGAACAAGAGTCTAGTAAACATCCTGGGTAGGATAAAACCTGAAACACAAAATCATAAATTATAATTTAATAAATAATCATAAAAAATAATAATATATTAATAAATTTCATTCAATAATATAATCAAACCAAAAACACTGAAATTTGAAATATAGCACCAAGTTCGCACATCACTGAGCAAAGTCGCAAAATCGTTTTCAGTATCTGATGACGAATTTCCCCACAAATCATTATCACTCAATTCTGCAAGTGGTTCTGATTTACTATCGCTGTTCTCTAGCTGGTCTAAAACCGCTTTTGACCTAAAGGGACGCTTTTGGATGCCATGGACGTTTCTCAGTTTGCCAGGCAGAAAGAACAGTCAAAATGAAGGCAGGGCACAGGACAAAGCATTAGGGACAAAATGTATGTGAAATAGTTTGATACAGTAATGTTTTACTATGTGATTTTAGTGAATGTCACTTTTTGTCATTTTCAAATTTCCCGCCGTTCCGTCCCCCGTACGTCCTGACGCTCGCAGGGGACGGAACCCAGAAGACAGATGCCGGCGTCCTCCGGATTACATTGCTGGGGACACTGCAGGAGGGACATCGCGGGAGCGCAGGACAAGGTAAGTGATCGAGGGATCCCGGAGCAGCGCCGCAATGGTATTCCCGAGTGTAGCTCGGGGTTACCGCTTGTGGTACTGAAACTTTACCCCGAGCTACACTCGGTAATACCGCCAGGGAGGCTACAGCGCCTTTCTCAACCTTTTCCACCCTTGATACAACATTCTAATCTCAGGGCACATGTGCTAAACGTTACTATATCTACAACTCATTTTTCAGATATTTATTTGTAAAACATTTTGAAAACCATTTATCATTTTCTTTCTAGCTCACAATTATGTGCCACTTTGTGTTGGTCTACCACATAAAATCCCAATAGAATACATTTACGGCTGTAACATGACAAAATGTGGAAAATTTTAAGGGGTAGGAATACTTTTTCAAGGCACTGTATCTTAATAAGATTTGGGAGGAGAGGGGAGATTCTGTTGTTTTAAGAGGGTTTTATTTGCAGCAGCATCAAAGTATTTTCTTTGCACTTATCAAAATGGAGATACAACAAAACTTTTTAAATTGTATATATCAACATCCAAAATTAAACAAAGGAGAGGTGTTCCTTGTTAGGATTTACAGGTGCAGGGACCTAAAAACTTCAGGGCTAACAAGTCCTACTGCAACTCCTAGCAAAATTTACAGAGGTACATACAGGAAAGGACGCCGCATCAACAAGTATTTTCTTTGCACTTTATCAAATGGAGATACAAAAAACTTTGTTCCTTAATTGTGTATTATCAAACATCCAAAATTAAACAAAGGGACACAAGGTAAGTTTAACTCCTAGGCAAAAACAAATTACAGAGGTACCCAGAGGTAAGTTTAATTAGCCCTTACACTTACCTCCTGCTGTGCTTCCTTAGATATTTTTTCTTGAGATTCCTTTAAAAAATAATTTTACTAGAATTGTATTAGCATAAATTGATTCCCATAAAGCAGTACTACTAAAGGATCATGACACCCTGGTGATCCTGTCCGTGGCAGGATGGCTGTGTAGGATACCAGCATGAAGTGAAAACACTCGCCTACTGCAAGGATGGCTGTGTAGGATACAGCATGGAAGTGAAAACACTCGCATGTGTCACTTCCTTGCTGGCTGGAGGAGCAAGGGGGTGCTCATTTGCTGGTGACTCAGGCTTTGCAGCCTTTTTGGCAATAAGGGAGAGATGCCTTGCTGCCGAAGCCAGCAAGGTGTGACACAAAGCAGGTATGTGTTTTCCTTGTATTTCCTAATGATCCTGTGGAATTCTGGGATAAAGTCCTTTACAGACATCCCGAAGTTCAGCTGGCTCAGCAGGAACCTGACGAATTTCGGTCCATATGTACCAGCTGTCTGTTCAACAGAAGCCAGTCTAATGAATCAATGGCTACAAGCACTGATCTGTGTATTCTGGTTGGCCGAAGAAAAACTGTACATGTATACCCATCATAAGACAGACTCACTAACTCCTAAATTTTCAGCTGTATGTAAAGTGATGACTGATGCATTACCTACATATTAAATGTCATTTCTATGCTGCCAATTCTATTTCAAAGCACACCCTGAGACTAAGCAAGCCATAGACGAGTCAAAAACCAAACGAAAATTCTTGTTGATCGTTTGTTTTTCGCATCATTAGTGTGCCAGCTGCAACGCGCGTTTTTCGTGCCGCAATCAAAAGTGCATGATTCAGAGAAACAGAAAAACAAAACAAATGATGGCACAATCGTATGTGCTATTTTTGCTTTTTTTGATCAACAGAACGTTTTGTTTTTGACTCATCTATGGCCGGCCAAAGGGACTAGCACATCAGAACCATAGGAGCCAACAGCAAAAAAATGTTTGCACATGGTGTTTAATTGCATGACACAGAATGTAGATTTTAACAGAATATATAGCCATCATAGTTGGATTTGAAAAATGTAAATAGATGCTGGTAAATGTACTGCATTACATACAAGTGCTGGTGTATTATATTATAATATAATAATGTTTAGCCTCTTTTGGAAAGGGGGTAGATAGGATGCCTTTAATGAATGTGTGTAACAGTAACTTTTTTACTCTGGTATATGTTTAGGTTGTTAGGATGGGTTAGTCTCTGCATCGCCTGGGGTTACAGGTCTTTTTTTAATGGGGAAAACTAAGGCGTCATTCACACAGATGTAAAGTAGAGGTGTTGCTTCACATTAATAAAGCTTTACAAATGCTTTGCAACACCTATTCTTTACCTAAAAATAAGAAAAGAAAAGGTCTAGTACACATTTATCAATCGCATTGTGTCTGTGCCACTTCCAGTTAGATTCAAATGTGTCTTGTAAAGTTCAGAAGTGCTTACCAAACCCCTCAATTCAAATCAATAGAAGTACACTGCAACCACAGTCTAAATACTCCTAAGGCATGCCCTTATGGAGTGCTATGATGGATGGAGTGCCATGATAAGGTTCTTACCTTGCCCCCCCCCCCCCCCACTTTCCAATAACTCAAAAGGGCATCTAAATTGTGTCTGAAATGCAAACTAATGCTATAGATGTTGCAGAGGTGTTTTACAATACTTTACTGTCAGTTCTCATGTGAACTTAATCCTTTGGACAATTTTATTTATTTTTTCTTTTGGGCCAGCACTGTCTTGTCTTATCCTGTGTCAGCACTGCTGAAATTTAATGTAGCTGAATATGTATATGGAAGACCAAAGCTCCATCTGCTGGCTGGATAAAAGACTGCATAATATTATTATGAATCGAACCACTGGAAATTCACTCTAAAACTGCTATAAGGATATACAGTATACCTAAAGCGGAACTCTACTCACCTTCTATGTAGTGATGCAGAGTCCTGGAGCTCCCTGCCAGCCACTGACATCTTTAGCTGAAATGCTTCTGGGTATCAATCTCTGGCCGTTTTCATTGGCTGGACTAAGATGTCATCACTCTCTTACATGCTCGGGAGTTCGTTCATCTTGGCATTGCCGAAACTCGGTGCACAACTTTAAAGTGTTACTAAA